AGGAAGCTCACAACTACATCGTTTTGCCTTACGGCCCACCTCCGATGCCTTCGTTACTCTCTCGTGGGTTTCGCTTGTTTGGTCCCTGCTCTGCCCATAGCCATACCGAGCAGTTGATCTTGGACGGAAGCTTAAAATGCTCGCATATAGATAGTATCCCAGGAACGATTAATGTTACTATATTTTATCATGGTGTCTAGGAGGTCCTATGGGAGCAGTCCGCAAACGGTTGTGTCCTATCTTGTTACTTAAATTATAATACTTGTAGGTATACCACTTGTAATCGCTTTTTACAGGAACTTGGACGTATGGTCATAGCGTCGGTCGATTTTGGCTTGCTTTTTTCATTATTCATACGATACGCTTGCTAAAAACAATTTCGGTGTCTATGTATGTACTTGGTGGTTAGTGATCGCGCGATGTGATCCTGCTTTTCCAGATAGCGTGATGTTTTTTTCTTAGTTTTCTTGGCTTATGTGTTAACTATCGGTAGAACTCATAATAAAAAGTTCTTTAGTAACAAACACACGATCCTTTTAGTTGATTCTTGCCAAAAACAAAGTCCGTCCTGTTGGTGCATGGACAACTGGCAACATTCTTTCATGATGAACATTTTATTCTCGGTTATTTCTTATATGTTCTAGATAAAACGTCCTTACTAAGTCACATCAATTCATATTGCCGCATTAAATGAAAGTAAATACCACTGACTAGATCGTTCTTTCCTTTCTTTTTCACTTACTACGGATTTACGGGAGTACGGCATTTTTCAAAAAACGCTGAGTCGATCGTAAGACTCTCCGGTCACTTGTATGATAAATGTTTCAGAAACCATGAGACCTTTCAGATCGCCGTAGTCTTGACTGATTCTTGGCAAGTGGCAAATCGGCTTTTGATAATATATATTACGAATAGAAGGAAATTCAGAGATAAAGAGACTTGCTTAAAAGGAGAGAGAGCACCGCCTCAACGATCCTTGTGTCAAAAAAAATGCGTTGTTTATTATTACTTTAAAGCCGCTCGGTTTACGTCCAATTTACAATATTTTCGATAGCACTGACTAAATAAGACTAAGCTCTAATATAACAATATTTCCTACATAGATTGTGTGTTTCGCCCAACACTTTGGCACACTTTCGAAGATGTCATATTGTGGTAAACATGGAACTTTATTATGAACAGAAATTACAGCAAATACTAAATGGTAATCCGTAAAGAGCGCAAGAAAAAAATCATCATCAAGAAGGGTCTGCTAACCGTACCGTGTCTCCTTGTTGCATGGTTATGCAGTATACAACTGTGTTTTTCAGGAAAGCCCTTTCGATACGTTTCCTGACATACAACGTTACGGTGGTTATAATTTTATTCGCAATAGGAAAAGCCTGCTGATAATAAATATATTTGCGTGCTCTCTATTTGTTCCTGATGCGCTTTTGGACAGTGATCGAAACACAGCGTACTTTTATCCAGAGTTCCTTAAATGGAAGAAAATAAAAGGAAGATTGTGCTAAGATGCTGTAGAACTCAGCGCACCTCATCGCGGCCACCTATTGTTATTGTTGTTAAATATGCTGCGGAAGCCATAAAATAAATAGCAAGGAAATTAACTAACAGAAATAATGTTTATCGCTCTTCGTAGCGCGTTTTTCTTTTTTGGCGCCAAACTATGCTTTCTATAAGTTTACTGGCCTTACTTGGGGCAAAATCCATAGATTGTTGTTTTTCGCAGTTTGTTCGGCCGGGTGATTTTCTGCTTCCGGCAGAAGCATGTGCCACGACGGCGCCAGGGCATCGCTGTTGGGGCCATCAATATATGCGATCTAGTGATATTAGGTTTAAAGTTTCGATCAATCTTTTTTTGTTGCTGGCCGTATTATTTATAATATTGATTGCAGCGGAGCCTGGGGAGGTTTGCCGACCCATTTATCCCAGTTGAATGGGTGCTAGTGCCTCGGAAGCTTATAACTAACTATAACTCAAAAGACTTAATTAACTTAAACATAATTCTGTGTTTCTACATAAATAATGTACTCTAACCTAAATTTGTGTTGTCAAGTGACTTTGATTAATTGCAACGTAGACGGTAGGAAGAATACCTTCCGAGACTTCTCCTGTTAGTTTCCTATAGTTGAGAATAAGCAGGTCGTGTATATACGTGTATATTTAAGAAATGCTCACAAGCGTATAGTGTAAAAACAAAGTGAAAACTATTATGCATTTGCTTACGTAAAAAAAAATAGATACTGATATCGTGAACCACAGTTTCGAAACCAAGGAGACATTGTCATCTTAAAATACTCTAAAATGAGCCAAAAGCATCTTTGCTTATACCCGCTAATTCATATCTAAGGTAGAAACCAATGTCAGCTGCTTTGACTGGAAGCAACTTTGCACCGCCGACTAACTCTTAAATGGCAAGAAACCAAAGGCAGGGTCGGCTTGTTTGAGCAAACTCTGTCGTGAAGGCCTCCCTAATGCCCAGAAAAATATGTAAGCCTGTCGAACAATTCAAAATGTGACAAAAGTATGAACGTCGCATAGCGAAAGTTATATCGGGTCGCAAAGGAAAAATCATCTGAACTTGCAAGATATATGTACGTCTTTATTATTCGTTAAATCAAGCAACAAATATAGCAGTGATTTAAAGTGCGATTGGAAAAGTATCTCCATTGGTATTTACTTTATTATACTACTGCATAATTTAATTTAGATTAGCAACCAGACATAGTGAGAGCAAAAATGAGGTGTAAGAGTTTCACAAAATACAATTATACCACGATCTGCCTCATACGTGCGTAAAATAGATTTTATATGTAAAAAAGAAATGAACGAAAAAATTGACAGAAATAGCGCCGACCATTTCAGCTATTAATCAGACGAGCTCTATGACGAGCTCTGAGATAAATTACTTCAGACACTAAAAATTGTCAAACTATGATTAAAAAAAACCTGTCAACAACGACAAGCTTCTAGGTCCGTTTTTAAATTTCGCAGAGTTAAATCAAACTACTAGTGCCAGTAATCGGACTTTACGTACATACTAGAATATCTGTGAATCTTATACGATCAGTATAGCTTCGCCAGGCAATAGGATCATTCGGGAGTAATGGGCAGAGTCTTCACACTTTATGAGTAAGTACAATAAGAGCTTAACATGATTTTTAAATACTTTTAAAAATTATCTTTATGTAGCTCGCGAAATCATAAATTTTATTCATGGCATCAAGCACTTGCACCCCCGTTGGACACCTAACCGGAGTAGTTGAACTTATCTACGGTTTCTCCAACAAACCTATTATCCTTCAAGCAATTTCTATTTTTAATAATAACAATTTTTTATTTTTCCTCATTCCCTAATCAATTTATAACGGTATTTTTTTTACGATGCTAAGAATTGAACCAGCGTGACTCTATGCCTCATATTTAGCATGGCAATGCGCTTTAAGATGCGCATTAGCGACTCATACCAAGTTCAACCTGATCTCATTTAAATAACCGAAAGTAGAAAAAGCGAACCTTTGCGGCTCTGTGTCAGTATAAAGTTGTACTGGTAGCATAAAAAACGCAAGGTCCATACATCAACCACAAAAAGGTTTAATTATATAGGTTTAATGGACCAGTCTGAGTAACTGGTTAAGTGTTTTTGCCGAAATTTGCAGCAATAATGGAAATACAAGTAGCTATATATTGGGCGACCGGATACACGTCATCTATCATTGGCCGCCTGAACACCTTTCATGTTCATGTTATTCGACGTAATATGGCCAACAGGGCTAAAATTTAATAAACTCTGAAAAATGATGAAAACATCATCTACTTTTTTTTTTTTGTAGAAAGTTGGCTGTTTGTCGAAAATCTATTCTCCTGACCTTTTTCATCCATTCAATTTTATAATGTTTTATCAAATAGTTTTCTTGATTCACTTTAATTATTAATTAAAAAGAAAGCTTGCTTTTTATACGCTTTTGTAGTCGCATCTACAGACACAATACAATATACATGTTAATTAACAATAATAAAGCCACGGCATATGGAACAAAATGTAAAGTAAGGAGGATAGCGGCTTCTGTTAGCGGGGGCTATTTTCAGACAATGCCGCCCCAGGAAGAAGTAATCCAAAATGCATTCATTTACCGTTGTTTGTCCGAAGACCAACCGTTCTAAGTAAAACAAGTTGCGATTGTCACTGCCATTGTCGTGATAATTATTTGTAAAGGACCACGCTAAGCTTTTGCATCAAGCTGAACCCCCGCGACAACATAAGCTTTAGCGCGAGAACTAGTTACAATGTTCTCTTTCGTTCGGAACCAAAATGCCAGTTGGATGGAGAGAGAGAACGCAGACGGTAAAAGCCACGCGCTGTGTGCAATTTGCCCTCGATTCGTTAAGTGTTTGGCGCCAGCTGTTTCTTATTTTGAGTATTCGTTTTTATCGCCACCATCTTTAATGACGCGGGACGTTCGTATGGTGGACCTTTAGCGCTGCAAAACGCTCTAGTCTGCATAAAAACCGTGAACCTGAACTGGGAAAAGACCTATAGGCCATAATCGTCGTACATATGTAGAGCATAGTATTGGGTTTGACACGAAGGCCAGAAATGATTGGTGCCGTGTATTTGAGACGATTACTTCGTCTACATTGACCACAAATAAATTGAGTACCAACACGTCTGTTCAGGTTAGTTATGAGGAGCGTATACTTAACTTCAGCGTTATCAGCAGCATGTGTATTATTAAGTAGATGATCTCTAGAAATAGCTGATGAACAGGCGTACAATACAACGATATATCAACAAATTGAAGAAGAACCGCCTTCAGATAAAGTTTCTGACTAAAGGGCGAGGTAAGAAAGCATAAGCTCTCTTGTCCTATACTTATCAGAACTTTGATGTAGTCGGTACTCGACTTATCCTTAAGTCGAGTATTTTCCCCAAATCTAGCAAACAAAAAAGTTGCATCCAAAGCGTTTTGTTTATTCGAGAACAGGCAAATAAAAATAACCAAAAACGAAAATAATGTTGAAAATTACTGATATATCGCCACCCTTGACTGGGAGCGATGGACAGCCGCTGACTTGCCTTACAACTGGCCTTTTGTTCAGCTCACATAGCTAGGTACACGCTGATCGGTCATCTATGCCGCTTGCCCCCCAGCTTTCTATGCACGAGTGTTCAACACCCAGACGTTCTGGCTGGCTTTGTGTTGTCGGTTGGCTGGTTGACTGAATTCTGTTGTGGACTACGCGTGGCCTGATTTGGGCTTGACAGTGTTTCTTTGGATCGTGGCCGTCCAATCGTTTCCATCCGTTAGTCTTTGCTTGCGCAGTCATGCCAGATAGCCGCGCTAATCCTCAGCTGATTTGCTCCTTCAGACAATTCGGTCGTCCTGCGGCGTGCAACGCTGTCCTTTTGTGGGCCACCCTGGCTCGCTAGTTCGGCGACTTACTCGCAACGCCTTTGCATAGCATTGCACCGCTAAGAATGGATCAACGGACGGCGGATGAAGATTCGAGTCTTAGATCGACGATGTCACGCGGACTTCCTCCTGCGTCTTGGTAGTGCTCTTTTGTGGTATGTGTGCAGTGTGCGCGTACACTGCATTGCACCGGTATTCTGGCTTCCGTTGCTTACCCAGCAGTCTATTATCCACTCAAGCGATTGATAGGCATCGCAGAGCTCGGCAAAAAGGGTCGACATTCGATTCACGGGCAGCTGGAACCTCAACGAGTCGATCGAGCAAGTGCGGATGTTGTGAGTGGGGTTAGCTGGCAGCCTTACCAATGCAACTAAAATAGCACTAGCATTTTTCGCAGAAGAGAGCTACACGAAGCAACGGGAAAATCCGAACGTGGAAGAACTGGTCAGGCGTGTCCGATCCGGCCTCAAGAGACGCGAAATGAATTGAGAGTAAGAGAAAGGGAGAAAGAGGATAGGAGAAAAAAAAAAAGATGAAGAGAGCTTTGTTCGTATGTATGTCGTTCGGTTAAATCACGGTTTCCTAGAAGAAGGTATTTGTAAAAACAACGTATAGGCAGTTCTTAATGTTCCTACAGCGTTCTTCATTAAAAAACAGATTTTCACTACTTTACTATTGTTGCTATTCGTTTACAATTCGCGTTATTTACTTGTGCTTTTATCAACAGAAACCGGTAATATCCTTGCATCGAAAGTACATATAAAGAGGTATTTTTTTTTTTGAAAACTAATTTTACACGTTATGAGTTCATATTCATTTTTTTTACGATCGTCTCTGAATATGCTTGCTCAGAGAGCTCACTCGCAAAAGTACCCTCGAAATCGATGAAGCGATTTCTTCAGATTTCTTATTTACTGAAGAGCTGGATTAGAGTTTTAACAATCCCAAAATGGTTTTGCGGATTGGGCTTAATCAATCTTGATTGATAATTTAAGTTCACTTGTCGTGCAGGAAGTCCGACCCTGCACGAGTATAGAGCAAATCGTTACCAATTAAAGCTAAACATAAGAGTAGGCATCGAGCTGGATGTACAGCTGGCGGTGCCTAGGATTCCGTCAGCTGAATTGTGAAACATCACGGCACCATGATGTAAGTACCAATGGGATTTTTCAACTTTGTAGAACAACGGGTATCACGTTGGCGAACGCAGCGAAGTTGATTCGGTTCGTAAAGCGGATCTTATGGCCTCATAAGATTAATGCCTCATTACTTCAATTCACTCATTATCATATTTATGAAGTTTAGAATTTTGATTATTATTATTACATTACAGAAGAGGCTGATGCTTTTCTCTGCAAACTCTTTTATAAAAAAAAAGTCTGCACAGACAGTGTAAACAAAGAAAATTAAATTACGCCTTTATATAGGTTACGTCGTTAGTCAGTACCAAGTTGCAGTTGTAACTGCCATTGTCCGCTAAACCTTTGAAAAGTCGTTTTTCTGCGTATATATATATATATCAAGCTAACACATAGGTTTATGAGTACGCGAATTTACATGTGGTTAATAATATTTCCGTACCGCGATTGCAAAAATGGCTTTCTAGAACCTATTAAACTCTAATTTATTTCCGTGTGATTTTAATACAGTTGTTATTAACTAGTTGCTAAGAAAGTGGGGTCATGAAGAGTGAAAATGAATCCTCAGATATGGGTGGTCCCACCAAAAATAAAGGCCCTATTCGCCTGTCAATTTTAGCCTCTGATAGTAGTGTTTGGCGGTATCGTCTTTAGCCCTATGTACGTAATATGCTAACTCTCCGCATACAAGATGTATATATTTACTTTACTGTAATGTTTTCTTTTTGATAGTTAAGATAGCGACGAGACCTTCAACTACCTATGGCTTACGCTTAGAAAAGTTGCCTTCCTTCTGCGAACGTGACTCTTTGATAACGAGCTTCCGGTAAGCGTGTAGGCTTAAACGGAATCAGGCCACGCCATATGCGATGTTTGCAATACGTCGATTCGTTCTTGACTCCGGAAGTCTAGAAATTTAAACAAAACCGATCAAAGTTATCACGGGGTGCGTTTGCTGCTACCGTTGCCCTTGTGTACCATTCGACAAGAGGTAGAATTTGATTCAGACTGTGAGCAACTGATACAAAATTTTTAGCATACACTCTACATTAAAATTATTCCAATAGATACACGCTTTAAAAAGCGAAAATGTGTGTAGGACCCTCTCATTTTAGGATGAATGCGAAAAAAAGGCCATCTCATTGAGGAAGAACACAATTCGGGTGACGCTATTCATGTTTCGCTTAATACTGGCCAATTGAAATAAGTACACGTTTTCGAAGTAAGCCTAATTCTGTGTTCATTGAAAAGTCGCGCGTCTATTTTAAGCATACGCACTCATATGCTTCGATATCATGCTATTAATTCAGGTTAAAATTCGTAAAGAGCTGGAAGTAAGTGTGAATCAGCCTAGCATACGCTCGCGTCAGGGACGTCAGGCAGAAGAGGCCCGTTCGCTTATAATAAGATATAAAAAAATAAATTAGTTGCGTATTCGGTAGCGTTAGACACCCAGCTCAGATGTACGAAGGCCCTTGGTAAAAAAAACATTGAAGCATTTCGTTCAAGCTCAATTAAACCGGCTTCTGTAGGTCACCAAAAGCTATTGGGCGGAATCAGAGATCAGTGACAGTGAGCAAGGCGGTGAGAAAGCAGATCTACAAGTGGATACTATAACGTCCCGATTTACCTGTCATTGGCCTGCAATCGAACAAAAGGAACGATCGATCGAAGACACAATCAAAGCGTATGAGATGGTCATGCCATGTGCTGGTGTACAGTATGAGGCATCGTAATCAGGTTTATCAAAGTTCACCCCAACAAAATGCCAAGAATCGTCGTGTTACTTCAGTTGAGTGCTTACAATCATATCATTAGTAATGATAAAAATATTCACAAAATTAAATAAAAATGTTTGTAGTGGGTGAACGTTGAATATCATCGAAGAAGGGTCGAGTACGCGTTCATTCGTTACCGCTCACACTATAATTTGATGGTGTAAATTTTGTAGCAAACATTTTAAATATGCGGTTTTTCTGCGTCGTCAAGCTCCAACGTTGACGCCCACACGCGTAGTTTATTTAACTTGAACTCTAATTACAATTGAAAGTAATCACATAATGCTTCCCATAATGTATAGCTGAGCGACCAAATCAATGCTTTTTCTGAAGTCTTTTGAAGAACGATTTTCTTAATGCGTTTCTTTCTGTCCTGAGTTCTTTTAAGCATCTACGACACGTACGTACTACCTTTAGTATGACGGGCCGTACGAACCAATAGATATTTAAGGAACCACTTGAGCTTGATAGTGCTTAGGCTCTTTAGAATCTCAGAATTGAGACATCTTCTTTTTTTTTTGTTTATAGCAACTCGAGGAAGGAAGCAAGTTATCTACAGCGCCCAATTGTACCTGTACAGATTGGCTTAGGTAGTATTGGCCGAATCCTAAGCAACGAAACGTAGATCGGCCATTTCCAGGTTTCGGTGTTTCAAGCTGATGTTAAAACATGACTCGAAGAATTCTGACAAAATCTAGAAACAAATTCAGATTTGCTTTGCTCTGTTGAGTCCACTTACAATATATCGTTCTACTTACAGATGCATCGCGTAGTTGTTTTATCGTACTTCTCTACTCCTTAGGGAAGTTTGTGATAATCCTGGAACCCAACTTGCTAGTTAAGCGGTGCTGAAATTGCAAAAGTTAAAAAGAAACCAAAGTTAGCGTTTGGTTTTTGTTGATTAGAATAGTCGAACATTTGAGAAGCTATGATGAAACGCCTTCACGTTCTTGTTGAGGTAGTCTATGGCCACAGTCTATACTCAGCAAGGAGAGTATTCTGGACAGCGATTGCAAATGTATCTGAATTGTCTACTGAATAGGGCAGAACGCCAACGTTTACGTCGCTTTTTCTGGGCCAAATTCTAAAAATGTTTAGCTGAGTGAAGCTGTGCCGCTTTCGTACAGGTTACAGCTGCAGTATGTCGAGCGGTCATAGGCTCCAATCCCATGATTCGCAGCAATTGCAGTCACGTTCACAATTACACGAATTTATATAAACGCTAAATACAACAACATGTGCTTAATAGTCGTATTCAACTGACAAATGTTTCCTGTAGTCCGTTGCTGGTTTTTTTCTTTTTGAACTAAGTAACCAAAGCCAACGCAGTCTCATTTTGTTATAATGTTACGTTTGTTACTCTATTATGACTTGGAAAGATGATAAAAATGCTTGAAGGGTTACCAAGTTCTATGATGTGTACACTAGACAATTTGCCTAATGTAAGGAAACGTCCAGACTACATTTCATTCAAATAGCAGAAAGAAAATGAATGGTAAAAAAATGATTAGATACGCTATTCAATATGACTTCAGCACCGTCAGAATTTCACAATAAAGTCGGCATGTTTGTTGTGCTTGTTAGTACATTTACGCTTTACCTGATTAGTACTTTGCGATGTTGGCACAAACGACATTTCCTGGCAGGGCGAGGTGGTTTAATCTGCAGACGTTGGGCAGGATCAAATAAAACATTGTACCTATGATTCTAAATCTCCTGGTGCTACATAAAAACATTAGTCTCATAGGTCGGAGGGGCATATTCTTCTAGCAAATCTTCTGCTATTCTCGACGTCGGTCGGTAGGGTCTCCACGAGCATCCTAGGGGTACATATGTACCAACCACTTCAGCCTTAAAGATTAGGAAAAGAGCACAGCGCAGCAGCAGCGATGCGATGACACAAAAACACAGCAGCAGGCTGGCGGACAAGCGGCTGCAAACATAAATGTGCCCGAGAAATTGTTAGACAGAAGCAAGAGCGACAAGCAAAGCGATCAAGTGAAGTAATGCGGTGGCAATGAGGAGGGCAAGCCAGTCTGCTGTTGTTGACCTCATTGTGGATCTTAGGCTGACGACTCGGTCAACTCCTTATAGCGAGCACAGGATCTAGCTGTGCGGCCTCCCCTTATGGACACGACCTTTTCCTGAACGATAGACAGGACCTCGTCCAGTGGAAAAAAAAATAAGCCCACCTGGATTGACGCAAACGTATCGAGCAAAGAAGAAACTCAGTATTCTAGTTGGAACAGTAGGGTCGGAAGGTTGAGTGCGATGGGGGTTAGGATTAGTGCTTGAATGAATGTTACGCTAACTAAGTGACGTCTGTGGGGGATGAAGACAGAGCAAGGATGTAAAGTAGAAGAAGACTCAGCTTGCTGAAACGGGACAACGGAAACGCGTCTCTAGCGAGAACCTTCTCTGCAAATAAAAGAAACATTTGCATAGATAAATCTAGTTGAAAAAAATTCTAGCAAACAATGACCTAATACCATAAAACGGGATAGACACGGTTCTCAACTTCCGAACAAATTTGTTGTATCTGATTAAGTAAAACAGAGTGAGGAGTATTTTCTTCATTCGGCATATTGTTCAGATCTACTTTTGTAACAATTGGTCTATAGAACGCTTTAGCTGTTATACGCTTCTTCCTGAGAAGGGATTTGATCCGCAAGTCGATACATACGGGGAGAAAGTAATTTTTTAGAAAACAAGGATATGTATTATAACAATAAACTTTTATACTATATTACTGTATATACTTTACTATATTACTCCTATACCATATTATAGTTTTTGAACTGGGTCCTGTCATAGAATTCCTTTAACAGACAAATGAATTGCTTTTGATCCTCGTGGTCTTATCAGTAAAGTAGGGGCTACAGGTTCAATGTCAATATTAATAAGGCAACGTCAACACTACATTCGGACTATACCCACTATCTGCCCATTATCGTTTCACGCACCATGAAATGGACTCTTGTAATGCTCTAGCATTTATCGAGAGAGGCAATTGGGACCAGGCACGAAACAGAAGAAATCAATCGGATGGGTTGCAGTCGGTATGGCATCATCATTTCTTTGATAAACAAAAGGTGTCCATTCAATGATACACACTCAAGCCTTTTGCATTTACGCTCGTCCACTCCTTATGACATTTCACGTAGTCATGATTACTCATTCACCTTTCCTCCCCATTCGGTACTTTGCTTTCCCTAAAGAGTATCTATTTTCGCCAGTGGCGATACATGCAACCTAGGGAATGGACCCCTGTTTAAGGGCATTCTATACTCATACTGTTTGTATTCAATAGCAATTACATGACGGAATCGGATTGGCGTGAATTTATAAAGAACGAACTGTTGATGTCTGATGCTGGGACGTTCTCCCAATCTAAATAGAACATATCGTATTTTTTAAAAACTGCTGATAATGTTAGTGAAAGTTTAAACAATACATCCTGGTATGTACGTCTTCGAATACATAGAATATCTTTGTTTTGTTAGCTAGTGGCGCCATAGTCAGCTAGCCGTCGGCTTAATAGCCACCATTTCATTATCATGTCTCATGGCGAAACTCAAATTAACAGTTTTTGTTCTGTGAGCCATATACGGATAGATGTAATAAAGCAGTAACTTAACGACGAACAAAACTTTATCATAAAGGTGATGTTTAATCCTGTTAATAATTTCCTTATGGTTTTATGAATCTGTTTCTTACCGGAACACCACAACCGTTGTTTTTAAGCTTCAAGCTTCTTTACGCTCTCTGCAAGCTGTTTAGAAGAGTGGCTACAGATTCGATTTACGTACCTCAAGGATTAGGATCGTGGCCGGAGAATCCAGACAGCATTAGATGGCCACATGTCTTCGCCACTGAGCCACGGGTAACTTTATTCCCACTTCAAGCACCAAATATTTCTACGACGAAAGACGTTAGGGAACAATCCCCATTGAAGGAGAAGCCCCGCTGAGTATGCAATGAAAACTCGAAAGACAGAGTGGAAGTAGCTAGGTACGAGTTGCATGTGGCTTTGGAATGGCAATGAAGTTTGTATAAGGAAGCAACATAGCGGTATAGACTTGACAGTCTTTGCCTTCACTGTCCAGCGTAGGGCAGAATGCCAAATTGAGAAAAACTGTCTAGGCCCGAAGACCCGAGAATAAGAACAACTAGCTACAAAAGGGATGTTAGGGCTGTCTGGCTTTACGGAGCATTGGATTGATTATACGCTGAAACAGGGTTGTCTTCTACGAGTAGCTGTTGTATACCTGCCTCTTACTGAAGTAGCTTAGTACAGCTTGGTCCTATTTTTCTACAGCTGTGATGTATTCAAAAATCAAGTCTAGCGGTCCTTTGGTGTCTATTCAGGGCGATAAGCAGAACCGTGTATACCTTTGCGTATGTAAATAGTCCGATATCTTATTTATGTTTTTGCAAAAAAACTCAGAGGAGTTTACTGAGAAGCCGATATATATTTTTAGCAATGCCTGGTAGTGAAAAAGCTAGTTTTGATTGCTTAGTATAATAAAATTCAAATAAAAAGAAGGTTCGAAATAAGCCTTATTTGGCTTCAGCAAAAGATTTGCAAGCTTGAGAAAGTGATTGGAGGTGTCGTCCATCGCTCTATCCAGTCTATCAAGTTCCAGCACTCCGATTTCTTTATCGCCTGAGTAAGCGTAGAGCTTTTGTCGATTTGTAATGACGCAGCTCTGGGCGACGCCATCAGAACGTAACTTTGACACTGTATGATTCTCAGCGAAATATGCTTTGTTTACGACAAACATTCTGGGCAATCAAAACAGAGAGAGAGGTATATGGAGCCAGGGGCAAAAAAGCAAATAAAATCAACTATATTGTTAAATGCAGCATCCTTCGTACTTAGTTAGATATTATGGCTGTTCCAGCAGTGCTTTTCAATACATGCAGTTCTTATTCATATAATACCTGTTTATTTGTTGGTACGGCCAGTGCCAAAATTATTATTGATAATTCACTGTGTATTTGTATCAATGGAGAGATTAGATGTATGACACAATGTGTTCAAATAAGCAGAGATTTTACTTACGAAATTTAACTAGACTCATTACAAACTTCATTCGCCTAAATATTTACAAGTTGCTTAACTTCTTTTTTATCTCGAAACAATAACATCAGCTCTCTTCATGGACATAAATGTACATTGTTCAAGTTATATTCTTCGTAATCCGTAGACAGAAACAGCTGAGACAACGAGATATTTGAAAATACATTACATAACGATAATTTTGAACAAATCACGTACTTCTCATACCGTGTCTATTGTCAGATTGTGATTGCCCACGCAGCGAAACGCAGAAAGCGTCTTGAACATCATCGTTGAGGACTGGGCGCTGCTTACCTAGCACCCCTTAACCGACGATCTACCAGTAAATGTACTCGGCGGACGGGAACAATAAGCAGTTCAATCGGCGTCGGCGACACCCCACAAGCCATATCGTTTTTTTGTCGCGTGTTCGAATCTTGCGTTCCGTTGTGCAAAGATAAAATTTGAGTTTTTCAGCTCATCCTTGGTCACAGTATAGTTAAATATCGATTTCGCAATAATTCACCAAGCTTGTACCTCTCTTCATGTTTTTTTTTTTGCGAAACAGGACATTTCAGTTTACATTACACTAATAATAAATTTCCCGTTGTCATGACGAGTTAATGTTCTTAGCAGGAACAAAGCTTTAATTTAGTACGAAGGATTGCGGATGAACGCATGATAAGCCGCTGCGAACAACCGACGCCAAGACTTTTCAAATATTTATAAATTGTTACTACCGGACATAAAATAACGAAATCTAGTGGCTGTTGTTTTTCAGTGTTTCATGTCGGCAAGCTATACAAAATATCAGTGGATAGCTTATTACCTGTGTAGCGAAGTAACCGGCTGTACGTGGCAAGATGTGCTGCATGTGTTTGCCTGCACGGCCTGTTTGTTGTAAAGAGGAACGAGAGAAACGAGACGTATGACGCGAGAGCACATCGCAACTTGAAGTTCAGTAAAACTTCTTTCTAATTGTCCGAATTATATAGCACCAAGTAATACCAACATGTTCATCGATAACGTGATAAAGATTCGCATTAGGCAATTGCAACAGAACTTGTATGCGGCCAGAGGGCATTTCGTGCCCACACGTCACTTCTTTCTAGATAGACACCGGCTTAGTAGAGCAGATAATAGCTGAATTTGAACACTGGCGAGCGACTGGCCACCGGGTGGCAGCGCAAACGAAGATGTAGGGTGTGAAAAGGTCGAGGTTGGCGATTTTGGGAAATGCCGAGTCCTCTTCACATATTGGGCAGTATGTTGGTAAGGAACCTGCTTACGTTGCCGTATCATTTATAATAGAAGAATAAGTTACCCGTAATAGCGAAGAGTAGTTGAAATACGCTAATAATTGTCGGCACACAGTAATATAGGGAATTTGAAAAAAGACGCGCGCTATACTTTCGCACGCAATCTATTAGATATAAAAGCAATTGCACAATGAACTAAGCACACTATTTTCAGTTTTAGAAACATATAATAAGGAGCACTTAAGGTCAATATAAATATTTGGAACCATGATAAACCCTAATAAAAGTAAGAATATTTAGTTTAGGTAATGTTATAAGTGAGCCTTATTGCACCCCAGTGAATACCCATAATGCTCGTCAAATCTCACGAGATGAGTCCAGTTTTTCTGTACATGGAAGCGTGAAGCGATACGTTAAAGCTTACGAGTACAACATTAAACTGGTTCGCGAACTCGATCAGCCTTACTGCTATCTGGATCTGTGTTTGGGGTACAAACTGACAAATTTACTACATATAATTTGTAGCGTCTTAATAATACGCAATTCGTCTAAGACTTACTTCGCGCAGGACACGAAAAACGGCACTACATGGTACCAAATGTAAAAGAAGCCCGTTTAAGAGGCACTTATAGCTTTATTTCTCTGTAGAGTTTTATTTTTCTTTTTGAGAATAATCGAACCTCTCTAATGTCCAAAATCGAGCGATTATATATTACGGTCCTGTGACAAAGTGCATAGTGTACCTTGAGGCATGTATTACGTGTTAGCACAGATAAACTTGCTACCTCAGATAGCGTTATTCCTACGGAAAATTATCGTTCTATTTTATGTCAAAATCAGCTTTTTTAGAATTTAATTTCCGTTCGAAAACTCCTTTGCGTCTTCAACATATTTATCCATCGTACACTACTTGTATATAACAGTCTTGACACGACGAAAGTTGTGGGGTTTGTTAGACACTACACCAACAGAAATACCGTTCCGTGCTCGTTGAGGAGTTGAAGGAAGCTTCAAAATAGGTCTTCACAAAAGAAATGGAATTTTTAACCGTGCCCACTCTTTTTTTTATCCCCACCGAAGCTCCAAATATGAAACACAGTGAGGATAACTGAAAAAAAGAGGACAGCTTTCTATCTGTTCCGAATGAATGAATGAATGAATGGACGAACTTAGATAACGTAACATCGACTAGTATGAATCTCAATGATGTCATAATATTAAAAATGTAGGATGCATTATATTATTTTATCTCAAGAGTGTGTAGCGACTGGTCATACCTTGGTGGACCTTGCTTGAGGCGTGTAATTTGTGTACAGCCTAAGGATAACGTTAATTAAAGGCGAAAAATTATAGGAAAACGTTTCTAGATGTGTGTGTATTGCGAGATGAATGGCAATATAAATATGAAGTTGTATTGAAAAAGAGATCCTGTTAAACTGAATACTTCGAGATATTGCCGTTACTGCTGGCAATTTTTAGCACGAAACAAAATGCGCCTGTTCACGCCTGGCTATGAAGTCAGTCCGCAGACGCCCCTGTCTACAGTAGACAAACACGGCAAAGAACACTTGTTGTTACATATACTTGGAAAAAAATTAATATAGAGATAGGACCGTCTGGTTAACGATCGGCATCGCTTGAGGTCTTTTTGGCCACAAAACGATTCGACCGCTCTGTGTCGCTAACTTTCTTTCTGCTGATATGTCAGTGAAGTTGTCTGATCTTCTTCTTTTCACTGTTTATAGAGTGTACGTTGTATCCGCTGTTGTTGGTATTGAAATCTGACGAGCTCAGAGACTGTTCTAAGCTTCCTCATAGACGCGACAAAGAGCGGCAGAGGGCAGCAGGTTTTCCCTATCTGTTCCTTTGCCGCAGGCGAAGTTTGCTTCCATCGTAGAGTTGTCCCGCGTCACGTAAACCATTTGCGGTAGCTTCGTTTTGTGAAAATTTGTGATAAGAGGCTATTTTTTCTTCACTTAACACCTTTCCAAAACTAACCGCTGTCTGGTTTTTATTCCTCGGAAAATAGGGTGTGTAATGTGACAGGTAAATGCAGCTGTCCATCTTTAGAATATTAAATGATTCTACAGAAATGCTCGGACGCCGGAACGTGCTTCTTCCATTGGTTGGATACCCGCGGACTCGACACCTTGTCAAATAAATTTAGTGGTAGGATGGTGTCACATTTAGGATTGTGGATTTGCCAATTTGGATGTGATCTGTCAAAAATTCATAGCATAATTAAACACAGACACTTCTCCATCTTATGTCACGTACGTTACCTTAAGTATGTTTAATCGGTTGTGATCATTCCTATTATCTTTTATGAAACATAATATAGATAGTTTTTGCATAAATTCAACTCCAAATTTACACCCCGGATAAACACTTACTGTTTTTTTTAGCCTAAAGGTATGACTAACATATTTGCCTGCTAATCCCAGGGGCATTTTGTGGTCTAGGTTCGATGCCGGACATAGGCGGACTTAATTTCGTGTGAGAAGCCAGTCACTCGATGGAGTGTCTAACGGCAATATCGGACGTAATCCGGACATTCTCTTGAATGGCGAGGGAATAACATCGAGAAGACATTAAGGGTCAAACTCTATCCATCGCGACATTGGCAGTCATGTGGATAAGGGCTAGTAGAGGGGAGTTGGAAATAGAAGATCGAGTATATATCTCTGATTTAAATTGAACAAATAGTAATAAACCGCCGGGACAAAGTTCAATATAATTTCGGGACACGATGAGTCATCCTGGTACCGTCGTGTGCATATCGCATTCAGTCCGTTACTATAAATAAAACGTAGTGACTGCCTATTTTGTGTATGAAGCTTTCGTATGTAGTTCGAAAAATTCCCAACGATCGAATAAGACCAGACTAAAATTTACGATGTGAGCGAATACGCTGGACTATTTCTCTTAGCCCTGCTGTTCACACTATTCAAATACAAGCATTTCTGCGATTTATGATTGCCAGTAATGCCAACTAAGATAGTGTAAAAAAACTGCCTATTATTTTGTAGCGTAAATAAAAGCAGGACGTCCTGTATCGAGTGAAACATGACATTGCTATGATACTTTGTAAAGTAAGGCCAGAATGGAAGGATATTGAAATTGGAATGTTAGTTGTGCTGGTGATATAATCGGCAATGGAATTGTGTATTAAGGGAAGGCAGCTTCAAGGAGTGGACGCTTCTACAATTGAGCCAAGTGAACTTCTCTCACAGGATCAGTGTATGAGGCAACATTAATGAAACGACCGACAAATCCATGCAAAAAAATCATAGATCCCTACGCGCTGGATAGCATGCCTTGATCAACGATGTTGTGAAATAACCTCCAAGGAGCTCTACCGGTATACTTTCACACTTTTCGGTATGAGCCACAATGAAACGAATGCCTCAATGATAGAATAACCCGTAAGTAGAATTTCAAGGTTCGAGCCGATGAAGATTACTTTTATTATATTGCAGCACGGTTGCACTTCCATACAATCTTTAATGAAAAAAAGATTATTTGTGTTCCTGTTCCAGAAGAGAGCAATATAAACTTGATATATCAACTTACAGAACCTGAAAGGAAACCCTATCTACGTCGCGTTAAAGAATCGACGTTTATGGTAACTTGAATATGCGCATCACCTATACTTATAAGGAGTCAATCATTTATATGAGCTCTCATAGCCATTCAGGCAACATCGATTAACACCGCCAAAAGTGCTCTCTGTATACAATTGTATCACTTTTTTAGTTTATCGACTGTTTCTGTGGAGCGTCTGTGGGCGTATGACTGACTGGCTTGTCTGTTGCGGCCAAAAAGTCGTGTCTATTAATTTCTACTTTTGATTAAAAAAAAAAAACTATTTTTAGGTGTTTTTTTTTTTAAATCACCTTTTTCTATTAAATATCGCATCAGAATCGGTTTTACTAAACTCACGCGGTGTTTCACCAACAGATTTGTGCTTGCCAGCTCTGGTGGGCGCGCGCTGCCCATTATGAAACTATTACCCATTGAAAACAGATGGGCGGCTGGTGAACGTAATTATTGATTGAATGATTCGTATCGTTTGAGAGGATCTTAGGGAAGCATTTGTACGTGTTTCTGCGGGTAGGGCCGTATAGATGAATAAATACAGGTGCGTCTAATATTTAACCGTTAAAACCACGAGTCACAGGGAAGCTATTCATTATGCCATAACTTAACATCGCCCGAACTTAAATCTGAAAAAGCGAATTTGACAAAGTAGTTACCTATTGAGCTGATTTTCTTCTCACGTTGTCGTAGGGCACACGGCAGCTAGTACTCACAACAATGACACCCAGAAACACATGAAGCAAACTATTGAA